TTATAATTATTTATGCTGTTAGTTTCCTAAAAGCACCACAACTTGAAGTCAGTAAATTAATTATTGTTTTGTTTTGTATTTATTCAGTTTTCTTCCTTCCCGTCTCTCTCCTCCCTGTGATAAGATGAACTGTCTTCTGATTTGTGCTGTGTCCTCTTTCCATTTTGTGTGGCCAGGTTACCCAAACTGCAGCACAAACCACTCATGGATTAAAATCCCTAATACTGTGAGCTAAAACAAACCTTTTCTCTTTGTAAGTCTGTTAACTTGGGTATTTCTTACAAGGAGGAAATGCTAAGCAACACACGGCTTAAACTGGGGAAACTACTTAAATTCTGAGTCACAGCCAAATTACCTACAAAATGGAAATAAGATCATAATCCTCTTAGAGTTGAGAATAGGAACTAAACACAGTATAAAGCATCTCGTTTAGCACCCGCAACATGGTAAGAAGTGACCCCTGGCATATGTTTGGTTTTTTCCTGTTTCTATTCACATGTTCTGAGCTGCCTCACAAACTTGTAGGACTGGGTGTTTCTGGAAGCTAGAGGAGAAATAATATAAGCAATAATACTGTTGTCCAGTTCAATGCGGTATCCTGCAGAATGAAAAGGAAAGGGAGACCATGGCAGGAAGGACTGTCTGGGTCTAGGAAGATATTCATGGCAAGAGAACGTGCTGCCTTATTTTCCAATGCTACCGTGTGATTGGCAACTAGAGACTCGAAATTAATAATAAAAATAAGCCTTAGATGGGAGAGCTTTGGCATGCATCACAAAGGAGGCACACTCAGTGTTTCATGGAGACAGACATGCAGTGTTCCCTTGATAGCAGGTACATTTAAAGCTGGTATGAAGCAAATGAAAATATAAAATTTTGATATCAGATTACGAAGGCCTACAGTGGCAATTTAAATCCTTTTTTTCTTTTTAGAATTCACCATTATTTGGTGGTACTGACAGGGAGAGAGAGAGAAGGAAAGAGAAAAGGAGAGAGAGAGAGAGCAGAGAGAAGAGGAAAAGAGGGAAAGAGAAGGACCAAAGCGGGGAGTGAGCGGGAATGAACACATTCCGTCCTGGTGTCTCACTCACTGCAGAGCTGGCAAACTGGGACAGACTGATTGCCTACACATTGTTCCAAATCTGGCAGGACCTTGCAACGTGGTTGCAGTACAATCCCAACGGAGGAGAAATACTTTTAAACCTGTTTACTGAGTGGAAAGTTAGATAAATTCCCCCTACCTAACCTTCTAGTGCAGTGTCCATCATCACATTTTTACAAATCTGTAATACTGAATTTAAAAACTTATTCTGTCTGTATTTACTGAGAACTTTCTGATTACACTGAACTGAATTGGGGATTTTGAGTGATACAAAGAAAAAAAAATGAAGTAAGCGTGTTCCTTACAGAATATTTCAATGAGGTAACTTTTAAAAATATCACCAAAGTGTGTACCTAATTCATATCTCCCACTATAACACTGAAAGGTAGAGCTATCTATCTATCCACTATCTCTTGAAATTCCTTTCCGAGGAGAGACGTACACAATTTCAAAAGTTGATCTGTGAAGCTGCTAAATATTGTTCATAAGTGAAATCGCTCATGAAAAAGTCTTATTTGAACATTTCTTCTAATTATGGTTTCAATCTATGTAATACCCAGTGTAGGTAATTTATTTTGGAATATGAAATTTTGAGTTGTAGATCATTGCTCGTTTTGGTCCAAAGTTGTATTACTGTTCTCAGTGAAGCATTAGTTATAGCTCAAAATATGTTAGGACCAGAGTGCACATCTCAAGGAGCACACATGGAAATCTTTTAAATAGTTTTCTGACATGGTTTTTTTACCTGTTATCTGATAATACATAGTAGGTTGCTATCTTTTATCTCAAGAACTAGTTTATCAAAACCTAAAATCAGAAGATTTACCCGTATATCTTAACCAATATTATTATATTTATTACAGAATTCCATATTGGCAAAAAAAAAAAAAAAAAAAAAAAAACTTTCTTCAAAATTCTCATGTCATTTGTCCAGCATCGTCTTTTTGCTGTTTCTTTCCAGAAGCTTGATGCCATGTTGATTTTCAATCTTTTTCAAGATTGAAGTCCTGACCTGCTGCACATTTGGAAATATTCTTGTTAGATTGCCTGGATTGTATGGTTTCTGTGTTGTGCTGGGTTTGGTGAATCCACTCAGTCTGAAAATTCACGTCACTTTAGGGAAAGTTGCTGAACAATTTCTATGACAATCTCTTCCACTTAGTTTCTCCATTTTACTTTCTGGAAATAGTTGTATGTAAATTTGGACCTCCTGAGTAGATCATTTAATTGATTTTATTTCTTTTTCTGCTATTTTTGAGTTATTTTGGGTGTTGGCTTTCTGTGCTCCTATCTTCATGGGATGTCTATTTTTAAACTTTCATTTTTAATTGAATATTTGTTACTGTAATAACTCTATAAAATTTTGTGTCCTCAGAATATTCTTTTCTTATATTCTCTTGTTCTTGTTTTGTTAATAAAATACGTCCTCAAATCTCTCTTAGGATATTGATGGTCAACATGAAAAAGAAAATCTGCCCCAAAGATCAGTTTTGCTTTTTTCCCTTTATTCTGGCTTTGTCTGTTTTATAGCAAGAGATTTACTTAACACCTGCTGTCTTTTTCTATCTCTAACACTTCTGAGAAATTTACTTACAAGCTTTTAGAAGGCTAGGAGGCCATATTACTAAGTTTTTGTTGGATCATTGAACCCAACTGTTTGCAGTGTCACTATTTGAATGTCCACTTTGCACGCTTTAATTTTGTAACCTGAACAACTATTTCTAAGATGACAATATGTAATCTGTTAACTAGTGATTTCTTACTGTTTGTTTTTTTTGAAATTCTGTGGTACTTGTATCCTTTTACTGTTTTGTTTTCTTTTCTCTTTAAATAAGTAAAAATAAAAATAAACAAGGCTAGGAGTAGGTATCGGGTGAGTCTTCCACTTTCACGGCTCTCTGCTTGCAGCTCTGAGGATGTGTCCCCTATGGGACTGGAATGTCTAAACTCATTATCTGACACTGGCTGATACATGGGATCTCTTTCTTGAGTATGGAGATTTTCATTGAATCCTTTTCTTTGCAATTTAGGATTTGTACTGCAGAGTTTTGGGGCTTCTCCAGAGCGCAAGGTGGGGCAAGGAGTCTCCAGATTATGGGTCACAATGCAAGTCAGGGCCTGCAATTGCTATTTCTACTTCATCTAAGAAGTGTCTGTTCATCTCAGATGCCCATTTTTGGATTGGGTTTCTAAATCTGGGAAGTTCTTACTGAAAGAAAGTGAGCCTCTTTAACAAATGATGCTAGAAAAACTGACTTGCCACCTGCCAACGAAAAAAATTAGACTCGTATCTTTCACCACATGCTAAACTAAAGTGAAAAGTGCTCAAAGGTCTAAATATCATAATGGAAGTGCTTAAGCTGTTGGAAGATAGAGTAGGTAGAATTCATGAAGACATAGGTGTAGGCCAAGACTTATAAACAAAACCCTGACCACAAGGGAAATACTACAAACACAAATGGGATCTCATTTTATTATAAAGCTTTTGCACAGCAAAATAAGTCACCAATGAATTGAAGCCACAGCCTGCAGAGTGGGGAAATATTTTTGCCAGCTCCTTCTGTGCCCCTGCACACTAACTTTTGGGTGTGACTAGTGCTTCCCTTGGTTTCGCTTTATGGGCTTCTTGAGTACAAACCATAGTTCTGGGCTTAGTAGCTTAAAATAATGTTTTTCACAGCTTTCTGAGCTTACTCTGTGTTCTGCTACTTTTCTATGTTCACCAGGAAATGTACAAGGGAGAGGCTGAGCTAGACCAGCTCAGACAGCTGCCTGCCCCTCTGTCTCCTTGTGGGCTTCTCTACCCCCAGAATCTCACACGGTGATGGGCTCATTGCATGAGAGTTCTGGTTATTCCAGTACTTATTGAGCTCCTGTTTTCTTTGTGTTTTCTGATGACCCAAGCAAGTCACACAGCCACAACTAGGAGGACAGGAGAATACACGGAGCCATGAAAAGAACAAGTCAATGTGGAAACTGCACCAATTTATTCTTCCCCCAGCAGTAGGTGAGGGCTCGCGGTGCTCCATCATCTCGGTTCTTTTCTGGTTTCCAGTTTTTACTGACCACATCACTTTCAGTGAGTCCGCCTTGAGTGTACTCTTTCCTTGTTGTATGTGAAATTTTAATTTCAATGGATGGTGTCACACACCCCCGCGTGTACTTTATCAGTCTCCTATTGCTGTCCTAACAAGTTTCTGCACATTCAGAGTCTCAGCACACGCTGGCCTCTCGCAATTGTGGACGTCCGAAATCCTAAAGGGTCAGCAGGGTTGTTTTTGATCCGGAAACTTCAGGGTGGAATGTATTTCTTTGGCTTTCCAGTTTCTAATGACTGCATGTTGTTTTTGGCTTTTGGCCTTTTCCTTCACCGTCAAAGCCAGAAACGTGACATCTCTGGATCATCTTTTTCTAACCTCTGCTCCAGCATTACATCCCTTCCCCAGCCCTCCTCTCCCTCTGTCTTAGGAGGAGCCTTGTAATTATAATGGGTCCTACAAGATCACTGGAGGTCCTCTCCCTACCACAAAATCTTTAATGACCACATCTGCGAAGCTCTTAACCATGTAAAGAACACGTTCACAGGGCCCGGGCATTCAGGTGTAATCACTTTAATGGGTGAAAGAATTATTTAGCCTACCAAGAATATTTGTAACCTTTCCTATTTTATGAGTATTTGTCTTTGTCCATTTAGTAAAAACATTCTTGCAAACATTCAGGTGTAGACTACATACAAGACGTGGTCAAGATGTAGAGTTAATGTTTAAGTTAAAAAATTACAGTAAAAGAGACGTTGGCATTAATCCCCTCAAAATATTCCCTCCTCTGCTTGAGACACACTTAGTCATCGCTGCCACTTTCTGAAGCAGCTCTGCAAGTCCTCTTTTGTGTCTTTATGATGTGTGATTTAAAAAAGTCAGTCAGTGCTGCTGCCGAGTGCTGTATGCAATGGGAGACTTCGCATGAGAATATCGCAGTGTCCTCCCCCGCGCTGTTCACTGGCTTTGGAACCAGGTGACGTCTGCTTCTTCTCCAGGTGTGAAATGATCGTGAAAGGTCTCAATCCAGGCTGTCCAGATGGCCGTGAGGGCCAAACTAGAGACGCTCCAGAGAAAGAACTTCCAGGACTACTCCAGAAAGTGGCCAGAACCCTGGAGAACCTGTGTTCAAGGTGAGAAGGAGGATTTTTGAGGGAGATTAAGGGCAATGTGTCTCACTGTGGTAATTTTTTTTAAAAAGGTTTTAAACATTTGTTGTATTTTATGATAACAAAGCATATTTTACTTATAAAATATTTACATATTATCATATTTGCTATAGAAAGAAAAAATTAATGCCTTTCTAGGCTATCTAAGAAGTTAGCCTATAAAATTTTGGTAAAAGGAAAACTTAAGGACACAAAGAATGACTTTTAAAGTCTGTTGAATCTCACTGTGACCCAGCTCACTAGCATTTTTTTTCTATAGCTTCTGCTTAAAATAGCCAGAAAGGATAACTGGAACTGCGCGTTCCTTTCATTCATCAGAGCGTGAGTTTATTTTCCCAGCAGAAATAACATGAGCGCTCGAAGAGCTGGGCCGAGTGACCTGGATCTGTCTTGATCTTTCTTCCAGGAGAAGGGATTAATGATGGTCTGCTGACTGAATTAATGAATGGCTAAAAATACTGGTTTTATTTCCTGCTCCATCACTTTGGGTTTGAGTGTGTACCTGTGTGTATGTGTGTGAATGTGCACACACGGGTGTGTGGGGCTTCCTTTAAATATTCACCTACCTCTCTCTCAATACAAAATGGACATTCTTCTTCAATCTTCAACTATGTCTTCTTGGTAATCATGCTCTATATTATCTCTCTATTCCTGTCACATATTTCTCATTGTATATAAACTTAATTTCATGGGGCTCAAAGTTTTTATTCCTGAAGCAAACTTTAAATCCCTTGAACACACTATTTCCCACTTTTCTGCATCTTATATTATAACCAGCCCTGTTAGCATTTCTCTGTCATCTGTTAGGCATTTAACCCTTCAATGCCTGGTGTCCATTTTTGGAGTGCCCATAACAATGGAATGCAATATACTTTTTTCTTCAATTTCTTGTGCCTTGAATTTTTCTAGGTAACATATATAAGTTTCATGCAACAGGCATGAAAGTTGCAAGTTTTGTCATAAAGGAGTTAGTGTATTTCTTCTTATACTCATTCATACCCATCCACCCATCTACCCATCTATTCTTTAATCCATAAACCCATTCTTCCTCTGAAAGATTTGTATGCTTTCAGAGGTATGTGTTTCTTCTGTAAATATTAAAATTTTTAATTTTTTGCTCCTGAACAGTCATATTAATTAAAGGATTATGCATTTTGATGACTTGCTGGAAGCACTTGATGGTAATTTTTATAATAAGCCTATGGGATGGAAAGCAGCCTGGTGCCACACTCTCCGACACAGTCTTCTACAGGAGGGCGTCAATTAGCCTGGGCAAAATGGCCCAAATGTTGCCTGTGCATAGTTTGCTTTAATGCATGAAAATCCTCCACTGATCACATTTGTACCGAGCTTCTTGGGACTTGTGCAGTACCTTGAGACAGATTGACAGGGAAGCAGTGACAGATGGGCACAGTGGCTCAGTTATTGGAAAAGAACATCTTTGCTCATGAATGCCATTTTCCATTTAATTTCATGTTCTCCTTTGAAGGACCTAATGCATCAGCTGAAAGAAAAGCCTCGTAGGGAATGACACTTGGGAGAGAGCCAGCGTGGAACATAACTCAAGGCTGCAAATGCCGGTCTGCTTGGCAGCTGCGAGGAGAACAACTGCTTGGCAACAAATGACTGGGTAGAAAGCCCCAGAATCAGCAAAGGATTAAAAATAGAAAGAAGGGACGGGTTTCTGCAGCTTGGAAGAAAAAGAGAGAATTCAGTTCCTTTGTCTGCAGAATAAATCTGCAATGGCAGAAGCTTTCCTAGAGTTTACAGGCATCAGATGACAACCAAGGATGGCCACAGTAAAAGATGTCCTTAATATGGTTCTAAATCACTCTGCCAGTCATGCTCAGTGACTTGGGCATTATTTAATTAAACTACATCTGAATTGGCTCATAGTGTAATAATGCTGTTCCACTCTCACAGGACACATTTGAAGGCTATTAAACATAAGATGAAAGATTCATAATCTTGGTCACACTGTTCCATAAAGCAAGATCCTCAGCCCAGGATTTGATATTATTAATATTTTTTTGGCTTGGCTCCCTATGTCCTTGGCATATATTTGTATTTATTTTTCAAGTATGCTCTCTCGTGACTATAAGCACATTTCTCTACTACAAAGCAAAGAGCATCAGTCTCTCTCTCTTCTTCTTTTGAGAGTGTAATGGGTAATTGCCCATGTACCATGGATCCAGCCTTCCAAAATTTAATTCGTGGATGAATCACCCGGGATCTTGTTAAAAGACAGACTCTGATTCAGTAGGTCTGGTGTGAGAGATGCTCTCAATGCTTTATTTTTACAAACATAACCCAGTGTTGCTACCCCCAATCTCCCGCCCTTCTTCTCAGTGTGGGCCCCCCCTTGTGATCTGTATGTTCTAACGTAGCATGGGTGGGGCTAGGACTGTGACTTCTCTTGCGTTGAGTTCTCACCTCCTCTTGGGAATGACTTGATTAGATTGACTGGCTGATGTGGAGAACATGGTAGAGAACTGAGGCAAAGTCAAAGGGTCTTGTTAAGAACCAGTGTGATCCATAGCAGCAATGGTGTATGACCCAACTATAGTCCTCTTATAGCAGCACCCTTTTCCTGCCATCAAAGTGGGATTTGCTTCTCTCTTTTCTGTGTTCCACACTTTCTGCACCCGAAATCATGATTTCACGCACTTGTGGACCTCCTGTATGGTTGATCCATATTTGTACTGTGTTTTTTTAAGCATCCTGTGTTGCCACTATAAGTGGATGATTGAAGGGAAGGATCCAGTTCCCACTGATTGGACTATTCTATCTTTCTCAGTGAAAGAAGCTTCGTAATATCATGTGATAGATTATTTTTATAATGCAAAAATAATGATGAGTTCAAAGTGGTTAGAGGGGCTTTCTTCCAATGGTGTTTTTGTGATAAAAGTTGCAGGTAAAAATCTGCTCTCTTTCCCATATTGTTCGATGCTTGTGTACCACAGAAGGGCACAGTGAACTTATTTTGCATGGGATACAGTTGGGTGTTACCTAATTGTCACAATTTTCTACAAGTGTCCTTATTTAATTATCAATGTGCTGCCGGATCCTGAGTGTGGTACATTTCTTTAGATGTCCTTCATTTTAGGCAGCGTCTTACTCTGGTAAAATGGGCCATTTCTGATGCAGCTCCTCCACATTATTTGGGTGGTTGCACTTTGCTCACTGAACATGTAGTTTGGGAATTGAAAGTTTGCTCAATCTCTGAGACATGAGATTAGGAGTATATCACTCAGTAATACAAATATTCCTTTAAGTATCTGTAGCAGAAAGAGATTGATAGAACACAGAGTGAAACACTGTGGGAAAGGCTAAGAAGTCTTTGGAAGCTTCGGTGTGCTTCAGGGTGGTCACTGCCTTTCTGCTGGCTGATGACTAGATAAGAGAATCACAGAAGCCCTTGCTGACGGCCACTATGAGTGCAAAGCCTCCCATTTCCCCAGCCAGCGTTTGGGCTTCAGAGCTGAGAGAAGACTGATGCCACACCTGACACCTTGGCATTTTCAAAATCTTGTGGGAGTGAATGTCTTTGACAGAAAATAAACGGAATCCACAGCCTTGGAGTTGACAGAATATGGGAAACACAGTTTTCAGGTGATTCAGGAAAGAGCAAAATAATAGAATCAAATAATCACTAGGTGCGAAACAATATTCATTACACAGAGACCCAGAAGTTTACTTGATGAAGTGCACACGTCGGGAGACATTCTGTGTGGTGCTCCGTGAACACTATGGAAATTGAAACAAGAGTTTTGCCCCTTTCTGGTCACCAAGCTCACCTTGACCGAAAGAACAAAAATTTATAGTCTTCTGTGTGTTTATGGCTTCCATTTTCTGTCTCTAGTAGCCAGAGAAAACCCTTGCTTCCCTAGTGTCCTACAGCACATAGAACACTTTTTGGGATTTCTGGGTTCAGGAGATTTGCTCACTGACTTGACAAGATTGACTGTTAAAATGGTTTTTCCTGGCTTTCTAGTCTCAGAGCAAATGCTGCAGGTCAGTGTTTCCTCCTGCTCAGTGCCACTGTCCTATGTGGCTCCTGGCTTCACTGGTGACAGGATTCTGGGAGACGAGGTCTAACCTTACTGCTGATCAGCTTTCTACTGTTCCGATCATGCAATTCATGATGCTTTCACTAAAAAATCCCTAGAAATCAGTCACCCATAACTAACATGAGAGAAAATATATTTCCTTCCTCAGAAGGCTGCACAGTGGGGACACTAAGTGTGCAGCAGAGATAGAGCACAGCCTGTGTGGGCTCAGCAGCGCTGTCATCCTGTCACCTGTCATTCTCTGTCTGCCTCCCTCACTCCCTCCTGCTTTATCCCCTCTCCCGTTTCCTCCACAGTCATCAGAGGACCAGGTGTGTTACCCATCTCTGCACTGAGGCCAAACACCTCCAGATAGAAGGCTTTTAAAGGTTTGTGCCCGTGAGTGGGGAACGTGAAGGTACATGTTCTTCAGTGCCATGATTCCTTTACTTTTCATTGTTGTTCAATCTTTTCTGCTTTCCTGGAGGGCTTCAATTATATTTTACAACTACTTTCTCTTGCTTCCAGTGAACAGGAGATAGAAAAATGAGATATTGGTTAAGTTTCAGATGGTAGAAAATTCTAGGAATACAATTATGTTCTGCAATCATGGCCTCCTGTGATGGCTCGTGGAATAAAGAAGCAGGGATAAATAGCTTTTATGAGTGCAAGACACCTAAGTGTTCTACATATTTCTGAGATTTTTTACCAGGATCTCTTTATCTTAAGAGCCAGGGGCATTATCCTTGTAAAAATGGGCTGCAGGTAACATCTTGGGAGTATGAAATGGCACATGCAAGGTTTTCTTAATGTGCCATCTATATTTTCCACCGACCTTGTGAAAAACAGTTTGTTGCTTATTGCTTTATTTTGGTACCTGAAGTAAGTTCTTGTTGACCATCAATATTTAAAATG